CACACACACACACACACACACACACACACACACACAAACACACACGCGCGCGCGCGCACACACACATACAAGAATAAGGACACCACTCTCATTGTACACGTACTCCTGCACCGCATTGAAGGTCTCCACAAAGCTACTGGACCAAGTGTGGATGTGTAGATGGTTGGTTCATCCACCACCTTCTCTTTTCGTTTTCAAAAAAACAAATTCAAAGAAACCTTGCTGTCTTGGATACACACTTATAACCAAGAATGAGGACGCCACTCACATTTTGCACGTACTCCTGCACCGCATTGAGGGTCTCCACAAAGCTACTGGACCAAGTGTGGATGACGTAGATGGTTGGGTTATCCACTGACTTCTCAGGCAGCAGGTCAATGTACCTGCAGATGGCAGAACCAAGTGAATACCAGCACAACCATGTATTTCAGCACATCCATGACTTTCAGCACATCCACATATTCCATTTCCACGTGTTCCATGTATTTCAGCACATCCAAAACTTTCAGCACATCCACGTATTTCACATCCATACATTTTAGCACATCCACGTACTTCACATCCCCATATCTCAGCACATCCATGTATTTCAAACCCATGTATTTCAGCACGTCCATGTATTTCACATAATTTTCAGCACACCCGTAATTTTCATGTCCATGTACTCCAGCATATCCATATGTTTGAGCAAGCACCGGGTGTGCATGCTCGTCAAGGCGTGCATGAGAACAAATGAGCAGCGCTTTCCCATGGCAGTCTCTCAAGTTGCATTGTTGGAGGAAAGAAGGAAAGAAAGAATTACGCTTGCCCTTGGGCCGCGTGCATTAAGGAAAGAGCCTGCCACAGACTCCCACCGACAGGACGAACCTCAAGAAGGTACCAAATTCCGCCCTGGCCAAAAAAGGACTCGATCCGGAGGAAATGAAACATCCTTTCTACAGCATCAGTTCACCTGAAAGCAAGCATGCAACTCAAAGCCATGGCTACACCAGCAGCATCGTGCAGTACATAAAGGCCCTTGTCGAGCTCCACCAGGCTGCCACATACCTTGATTTGTGTCGCGCGGTTTTGGGGATGATCAAGGACTGGACGACTGTGTTGGTGGTGATGGAAGGGTCCTTAACGATCTCCAGCAGGGATTCAAACACCTGTGAGGTAAGGCACGAGACAACTCCCTCAATTGATGTGGCGCGGTTTTGGGGATGATCAAGGACAGGATGACTGTGTTGGCGGTGATGAAAGGGTCCTTGAAAACCTCCAGCAAGGAGTCAAACACATGTGCTTGACACAAGGCGCTTCATTTGCAGGTCCAAACGTGAGATGCCTTCCTCATTTCGTGTGCACTTGGGACACCTGCCTTAAGGAAAAACAGACGTGTGATGGTAAGTTGGGTGCAGTGCACAGAAAGTTTGGCCCAACGAGCTTGCATGCGTTGACCATGCAAAACAATTGCTAACGCAAAACTGGTGCACGCCCATCATGTGTTTGGTGGCAGTCAACATCCTGCAATGGTGTCAAATTACCTCATCATCACCTGGGAGACAACTTCTGCAACAGGGAGCTGGACTTACACCAGCCACACAAGGTGCACAGGCAAGCGCAAAAGGGTGCTGCACCAGCAGCATCAGCGACTCCCTTTTCCATGGTGGGGCAGAGGCAGCAGACGAAACCATACATGCAAGCCAGGGCTTCTGCTTGAATAATTGCAATCAGCACCTGCTCAGCCCATTAGGGTTCTCAATGGGTCCAGTGCGAAGTGTTGGAGCTTTCAACTTGACAACTTCAAGGCCTTTGCACAAACTTGGCACACCCACACCCACACACCCACACCCACATCCATACCCACACCTACAGCCACACCCACACACGCGCACACACCCACACACCCACACACCCACACACACCCACAC